CCTATGTTGAGCCATCTTGGAGGCTATGTTGGGCATATGTTGGGGATCGGTTGGCTATCTTGGGCCTATGTTGGGGATATGTTAGGCGATTTATGTTGAAAAAATCTTCCGATACAACTTTTTACGATTTTTTCCTTCCCGCAAAGCAAAAACCATGAAAAAACCTAGGTTTTTTGACATCGCCAAGATGAAATTCTCGGCTGCCGAGGGGCCCGAAACCCTGTAAAACACAGTGTTTTTTATACCTCACACACACGATACACTGTAAATTACAGGGGCTTCAGTGACCCGGTGGTCCCCCCGTTTTGGTGACGAGGGTCGGCGGCAGCCGGCGCGACCGTCTATAACCTTCGGTTACCACCGAAGGCCCTTCGGGCAGGGCACGGGCTTCGTGGCCGGCGCCCGGATTCCTCCTGAAAAGGGGTCGGCGGCACCCGGGCGAAGCCCTTACAATTAGTATAGTCAGTATAGTCTTAAGATTTGGGTGTGCCTCAAATGGTGGGATGGCTTTAAAGGGTCTCCCCCCTCGTTGAGGCAAAGCCATTCATACCAGGAATTCTAGCCTTGCCATCTCCGGCTATCTCCCTGACATTCCCTTACAACCAGCACATCCACTCGGAAAAAATGAAGATCACCACACCAGCGCACCTATCGCACCTGCACATCCACTCGGAGCCCCCCGGCGACGTGGCACCTTTTGTTCCACGGAACGCGCTGAACTCGGCCGAGCCGATCTCGGCGACCTCGACCCATTCTCATTTGGTGCCGAGGACTCGATCCAGGTACTGCTTCCCAAGAGCTGGATCGTACCTCGTTCGCAGAGCTGGCCCGTGCGGGGTGTGGGGGGGGGCCACCCGACTCAGCCTGTGGAGACGGGGTGTGGGGGGTTTCCCCGCGGAGACGGGCCGCAGAGGACCAAGGGACCAGAGCACCAAGGCACCAGACAATGAAGGGAGCAGAGGACCAAGGGATGAGAGGACCAAGGGACCGGAGGACCAAGGGACCAGGCGACCAAGGAGAGGACCAAGGGACCAAGGGACCAGGACAAAGGGAGCAAAGGACCAAGCGATCAGGGAACCAGCAGGCCAGGACCAAAGGAGTAGGAAACAAATGTTCTATTGATAGGATTCAATTTTCTTTTTGATAGGTATCCCGCGGAGACACTGCAGGGGATTAAGACTTCCGGGTTGTCCAGGCTTGGTGATCATCCAGGCTCCACTGTTGGGGTGCGTGTGTCACCATGTTTATTTCACATACTGTAGAGGTAAAAAAAAATCCGTTTTTCACATACCATGCTGGCAACAACACGGCAGCGACCCCTGGTCAGTATACAAGTATGCAGCATTACAAGGGCGCCCCTTGTCGGGGTGGTGAATGGATACCCCGAATCACCTCTAAGGGGCCACTATAGGTACTGACTTAAAGGCACACCATGGCACTCCATGGAAAGGGGGCCCTGGTATGTAGTCAGTTCTCATCAGTTCTCGCTAGTACGCAGCTAGCGACACACTAGCACTCACGTGTAAACTCCACTGGTGACCCAAAAGCATGCTCCAATTCAATGCTTAATGAGTAATGAGTGTGTTCAAGCGCAGTCTGGATCGAATCTCTGCAAAAAGATTCTTTCGCAGCTGCGGGGAAACTTGTCTCGTCTCTGTTCCTGAACCCTGCCACAAGTCAAAAGAACACCCACCTAGACCTAGAGCAGCTCCAAGGGGCTTCTGCAGGACGTGGAGCACCACGTCATAGGAATGGTAGACCTCGTGGAGGATGAGGGCCTCAGATGATGGGTCGCAATTGGGAGTACAAAGTGGAGTTTTCTACAAAAACAGGCTCAGGATGGATCAGGGCAAGAAAGGCACAACATCAAGGCACAAGCATGCGCATATGTAGTTTTTTATCATTAATCATTAACCCTTTGATGTGCAGAATTCCTTCAACAGTTCACGACATGTTCTCCGTCCCCGGACTTGTTCAGGGTGACAGCCATGGAAAGACTTGAAGGGGGCGAACTCAAGGCATTCGGAGAGCAAATGTTGCACCACTGCCACACCAGGTGCTGTTCATACTTGGATCTTCCAAATCTGCCAAATCTCCCAAATTGATCCAAATTGGCAGTATTGGATAGTTGAAAAGGCGGGCCACGTCGTTCTTTCGATCCAACGGTGATCCCGTGGTTCGCTCCGTTGTTCCGCCCGGCCGGAGATCGCCCCATCGTTCGATCCGTCGGTGGGGCGAACGAAGCCGACCCGGTGCACAGCGATGCACCGCGTTTCCGAGGAGCGCGAGACGATGTTTTTGGCGTTTTTTTGGGGCGGGCGGGGCGCTGTTTTTCACAGGTGATGTGTCAGTCCGAAGGTTGGGAGGTCATTCTGACCACTATGACACCACCTTGCTGACTTTGGAGATTGAAAG